TGGAGAGGTGTGTGAAACATCCTGAGAGTTAGCTTAGTTTGACAGTCTTCTGAACAGAACAGAGGGAAAATGTAAATCCAAGGAACACTTTGCTAACTATGAGACATGTCCTGTCTTTTTTTTTTTTTTTTTTTNTTTTTTTTTTTTTTTTTTTTTCTGATATGGTTCTTTTTGTTGAAATTCATTATTTTGGATTTTCTTCTTAAACATTTGGTTTGACTTCTGTGTAATGATGAGCGACCTAATTACTTCTGTCTTTCCATTCCGGTGTCAGAATCCCCTGCTGAAGAACTGCCTTCATTCATTGCCTTGAGACAAAACTAATGTTATAAAGAAATTACAGGAATGCTTCCTATAAGTACTGGGCAAGAATATCTGAAAATCTGAGTGTGAGGATGAGCAGATTTGAGGTCAGAACTATTGTTCAAAAATATTACATAGAATATGTGTCTAAATTCTTGCAACATTCCTTCTAACTTTCTAAAAATAAAGTGCCATGTAATCACAAGAAAAAAAATAACTAAAACAGTAAAAACAAAAGATCCTGGAAGCTATACTTCCACAGTTTGTCACCATCGATAAAATTTTATGAAAGACATCATTATTACAGTCAAAAAGGATTTACAGGAATTGAATTTATCCATTCAATAACATGGACAACAGTACAGATACTAGGAAATGGAAAATATATAAAATAGGAGAGATGTGAAAAAATATCCTCCATATGGTCCCTGATTTCTACTCCTCTAAGAACTCAGGCAACTTCAGGTACTAGAGTCTCAAAGGAATATGTGAGCCAGCTTTTTTGTTGTTGTTATTTTATTTATTTATTTATTTATTCCCTCTAAGCTTATAGCGCTGATCTGCTTCTGGAAGAAGTCATTTAAGGGGAGGAGACTCATTGATATTCAGATATGACAGTAGGTCAATCATTTTTATACTTCACCTCTTTATTTTCTCTGGAGATTTTTTCCATCTCTTTCTGAGAAGTGAGGATGGTCTGCTATATTTAGGTTGAGTTAAAAGAGCTCTGTTGAAATGTTTTTGATTTCCAGTCATTTTTATGGGTTATTTTAGAAATTCATTAGAATTAATTCAGTTTTAGGTACTCTTATTTATATGGAAGATTACTATATTGAATTTATCAATACAATAATGAAGTTTACAACTGCGCAAAATTAAACTGTTATCTTCAAATATGAAGATAACAAATCTTCAAATATCATCTTATAGAAATAAAATTATTTCTATAAGATTAAAATTTTTGGTGTGGAATATTGTAAATTCCTGAGGGGGATAAAGCACAATAAAAGCAATCAAGTAAAACATAAGAAAGGATTGTAAAAGTCTGATAGATACATTAATATTTTTATCTGCTTTTTGATATTTGAGCTTTAGAGTTTTAAAAATGTGTCTACCATACGTCTCTTTCTAAAAAGAATTCAAAAAGAATTTGAAAGCAGAATTTCCCACACTATAACATCTCTCCTGGTGCTAATGTGCTAATAAAAAACACTGAAAGAATCCTGTTACGAACAATGACATAACATCTCTTGTAGTTTCTTTGCTGTTTGAAACCATCAGTAATCAATGATAATATTTGGAACTGAAGTTGTAAGGCCTTTTTTGGCAGTAATATTGAAGAGTAAATAGTGCTGGAAATAACAGGATGACTTCCCACTAAGAGAATGAAGTAGTGAAATGGTCTTGGACACTAGTTTCCCAATAAAATCAATGTCTAGAAAGCTGAGAACAAAGTTACGTCTCAGTAACTTGTTTTCCAGTTTCTGCATTAAGAGGTTCAGAAATCTTTCCAAAAATCTTCTATCTATAGGATACTGTCATAGGATGAATCTAATGATGAGGTTCGTTCATTGCTACTGCCATTTCCTGTCACTTGTGACAATATTTTCAAGTGGATAGTCCTATTGTAAACCTACCTAATTACCTGAGCACTTACCTACAGGTCAAAAAACAAGTATCAGAGTAATTTTCTGTTGCTAATGACTTATCAAATTTTACGGATTTTGCTAAAACCAGATTTTGATGCTCTACCTGAATCATTATGTTCCCTATCCCTTATAAATTAGGAAATTATTAATGACAAAATGTTCTCAACAGTTCTGGTAGTTTCTCATATTATTTGTCTTCAGAAATTCAGTTTCCTCTGAAAAGAAAAATTATGAATTCAAAGTAAATATGATTTCAATAAAGTTTGTAAAAACTATATGTCAGTCTCCGTTGGTCTCCTATGTCTTTGTGTGGAAGGGGATGGTTTTGGTATCCAATGAAATAACTTTGCTTATCCTAACTGACAATTATATCTTAAAGCATTTGCTAACTCACCAACACTCTTGCTGCAGCATAGCAAATATTTGGGAAGAAAAAGTTATTTCTTAAGAGATTAGTCACAGCTATGTTTCTGAAGTGTATGAGTTGTATGTTTTCAATTACTAGAGGGCTTAAGCAACAAATCATTCTCTCTGGCTTAGCTCAGAAATGTTTTATGATGCTTCTTTGTTTCTAGCAGATAAGCTAGCAGCTTCTTGTGGCTGCAGGGAAGAATCCAATGCCTACTTGAACCGCAGTAATCCATTTGTCATGGGGAGTTAATGTATTAAATAGGCACTTATTCTTTTTTTTTTTTTTTTTGAATTTAATACAGATCACGCTGTTTAAGGTACATTGTATGAAAATAAAAAAATTAACACAAAATAATATCAAAACATTTTACAAATAATGATATGATAAGGAAAAGTGGAATCAACTTTTATATAACTGAATAACTGAATAACTGAATAACTGAATAACTGAATAACTGAAGTGGGATCAACAATTATAAGAAACTCACTAAAATATTTCATGTTTGAATGTAGAAGGTATTTTCATCAATCTGTTTCCCTTTGGAAATAAAATATATTTATCTACATGCCTATTTCATTATTTGTAGTAATTATGCAGGTTTACATATCTATTTATGTACAGAGATTTTTGTTGTTGTTGTTGTTTGTTTGTTTGTTTTCCAAAAAGAAATGTCAAGGCATCTCTACAAACCTATGATTTCAAAGTATTAGATTTTATTCTGTAGAATAAGTGCTCTAATGAAATATAATAAACTGAGACTTGATTCCAACAAATCAAATAGATCTCTTCTGAGTTTGAACCAAATTACTTAATCACTTTTGAATAAAATTAAATAATTCTGGAAAGTGTAATGGTACTTTCCATTTTTGAAAGTAAAAATTTTTAAAAGATTCAGAATTAAGATTTGAGGATTGCATTTATCTCATTTCCTCAATAATATATAGTTCATGAAAACTGGAATACAGTCACATAAAAAGTACAATCAAACTGAGGTTAAACACTTAATTTGCTGATGGTAGTGGACTAACATATACAGGAGCTGATAAAGCAAAAAATTTTCTCTATGGAATGACAAATCAAGGCTGGAGAATGTGTGGAAACCACAAGATTACTTCCGTGGCTAAAATATTTCTCTTCTTCTTTGAATCCAACAGAAAGCTAATGAATCTCTACTGAATGGTCATTTTGCATACCTATTTATATATAGATAATGTCCATATCTCCAAAATGCTTTAAAATAATTTTGCAGTACAGGAGGTCTAATTAATGAAGCATATGTTGATGTCTGTTCAGCAAAATCCACAAACCTACCTCTACACTACCCTTAGAGTATTATCCACTTTACAAATACTATCAAATAGAAATAGCAATTAACTCTGAATTTGAATACTTATGTCTTATATCATTATATTCCTTTAAGTTGATACTGAAATCAGTCTATGTTACTTGCATCTTAATGTATGCAAAATGCATATGATGTTTTCTTTACCCACAATCATGATGTTCTCTCCTGCTCTGCTTCTCATTATGATTGTTTCTTTATACAAAGTTATAAAATTTGCCCCTTCCCTCCCCTACCTCCAAGACAAATAGATCTATATGAGATAAGAAGCACAAATACATTAAGTATGAGTTAAGTGAACATTAAACTAAATCAGGACAAGCAACTAAAAAAATGTTAAGTCAAAAAATGTGCTCCTTAGTGGATAGATAAGCTAATATACAAAGAAAAGTAATAATTTGTGGGCAAACTTACTAAAAACAGAATGACTTTTTGTGGGGTTTCTAGAGCCATTTCATAACCTCCATATGATGACAAAAGTTTCTAATTCCCGTAGCTACCCAGTCCAATAAAAATGCCCATGTTAATTTTGGCTTTGCATTGTTTTTTTTTACAAAACTAATACCAACTCTGTTTGTTGTTCCTCATTGTATGCTTGGATTGCCCCATTCTGCATCCCCTCGTATTCACACAGACTCTCCCTGCAAGGCACTGGCTGCACTCACCAGAAACAACACAACGATCACAGAAAGTAGCCAGATGATAAAAAATGCAGACCAATCACCAAACCAATCTGTCTTTTTATTTTTTTTTTCCCCCAGCAAAGAGACCAATTTTATCTCTCCTGTTAAGCACCAGCATAAAATATATCATTAAGGTTTTGCTTTCCTGCCTGTGGTTTGGCCAGAGCAGCCTGCAAACAGATGTGTCACCTCTGAGCCTTCTTGTGCTAGGAGCTATTGCAGTCCTCTACAGGTCACTGCTAGGAACCTTTCTGACGGGTGACAGCACACTAAATAAATGTAGATAACCCTTGGAGCAATGCTTAGAGAAAATCCAGTCATTTTCGTCTGTGAAGTTTTGAGATTCCGTTACAAAAAGTCAGTATATACAGTCCAGTATCTTACAAAACATGTATAATACCTTGTAACAAGTAGAGAAAATAAATCTATGCAGTATTTAAGCAATTTGAGAGTGTAAATGAAATGATTTGTTTTGTGGAGTCCTGTTGGGGTAACTCTATTAAATCATTTGTTTACAAAACAAAACAACTTGTTAAAAATGTTTATTTATGCAATGCAATTGCATTAACAGGCTAATTTAGCCCAATGTCCAAATGTAATAGGAGTCTTACCCCTTTCAAGATCCATCATTTTCACAAAGTAGGTTTCCATCTTCAGCAAACTGGCAGAAGGTCAACATCTAAGCAAAACCCATTACGGGGATATCTGGTTCATACTTGGAAGTACCACCTTGCAGCAAAGGCACAGGCGTGGCACTGAATCCAGTTACTATTTGTGCTGTTGAAAACCAGTTTGTTATTAATCGACTTTTTCTCCCTACACAAGGCAAGAAGCAAAAGTTGTAGAAACTGCAGAGCTGTATTGCCAGAACTGCCTGTTGTCTACTGAATAGCTGGGTCACTGAATGCACTATTTCAACATTTTGGATGGATACTTTGTGTCAAAGATGGGAAATATGCCAAGGAGTGGAGATTCATGGGCCTAGACAAGAATAAATTCTGTGCCCCGGAACAAAGGAGATGTTGAGACTTTTGGATAATGGACAATTAACCTTTGCACAACAGTCAGGACAGGAAGGGAAGAGATATTGATCATGTCATAACTGGTAATCTCTTTATGGCACCTGCATCACATATTTCAGACTCGCTTTTGTTATTTTTCTCTACAGTTAGAATGTTAAGATGCCTTAAGGCAAACACACAGGCCATTTCACAATTTAGGAGAAGCAGAAATGTTTCCATATGACAAGAGTTTTTCAGTGTTTCCCAAATTGAACCACAACTTTAAAAAGATAAAACACAGTAACACTGTGCTCTTATTAGGAGAGAAGGTGAATTTAACTATGAGAAAAAGGATCATACTGACCATTGGATTAGGTTTTCTAATCTGACTGAAATCCTGAAAGTAAATGTCACTGAGGAAAAAGGATAAAGAATTGGTGGCAATTTTATTTATACATGTTCTGCATGTTTAAATCGGAGCTTTGGCTTTCTGACCATAGCTTTAAAATAGTGATTTTCTTGTTTGCCCTTTTCTTCTTTACAGCTCTAGCCTTTACATTTGGGTTCTAAATAAGAACACTATTTCTAATATTTGTTAGAAAATACTTCATACGTTTCTGTTTATTAGAAATGTTAGATTTGCAGAGCTCCATAGGAGTAACCAAGGCCTCTATTCATAAAGTGAGATTGTGAATACTTAACGTGCAAGGCAGAGGTTATCTCTCCGTCTTCCATAGTCATAATAAAATTGCTGGCCATGGTGAGAAACAGAAGAGAAAAAACTTTGGAAAATATACTATCTAATAAAACCTTTTTATGTTTGTAAAGTATTTTCAGTCCAATTCTAATTACCAGTCTGTATTGCAGTGTGTTTACTCCAGCCAGTAGCTATTAAATATTTAAAGTTTCTGATAAATCATCAAGTACTCTTTCCTTGCCCTCAACGGAAGAGGACAGCTTTTAAGTATAATCACTATTTATCTGTGCTCAGTTATCTTGTCTGCATAGAGATAATTCATTTTTTGAAGATCATTTGGAATATAAAATCAGCTATTTTAATTATATAAATGATTGTATATGTAGTAGCTGTTAAGAGGACAACCAATGCTTTCACTAGCAATTTGACAGAAACAAATAAAAACATTTTTAATTTTATGAAATCAAATGTTTACTTTAAAATTTGCTGTTACTATTCAACATTGTAAAAGTCTGATCTTTTACGCTTATAATGTCATTTAGCAGGAATAAATCAAATCTATTCCTAATCTTACTTTATTTTATACATTCACAATGTTCTGAATGAAGATAAAATTCAAACTAAGAGTGACAAAATTCTGCTTGTTTTATCTATGAAGAAAAGCAGTCTGAAAGACTAAAGTGAAATTTTATACTCTTTGATTTTCATGTAGTCAAATCCCCATATAGTTACATATACAGAGTTACAAATTCTCCAGGCAGGTCCCAGAACACTGCATGTCCATACAGCACAACCAAGTGTCTTGTTGAAATATGGAGCTGAGTGCCCAGGCATGAGATAGTCCTTTCAGTGCAATGCTTATAGAGCTGCACGACACTGGCTACCTCCCGTCCAGCCCTCCAGCTATCTCAGTCAAAGCTCTAACCGGATATGGTTTGGCAAAATGTTACAATGTCTGTTTGGCTTCTGGTGACAGATTAAAAATAATATGTCTACATGATGCAATTCACCAGTCCAGTGTGCACTTATTTTGCTACTTCAGAACCCCAATAGATTAACTTTATCAGCACCTTTATGTCAGATTTGGCTTTGTCTGTCTCCTACACAGAACATTAAAATGTAAAAGTTGGCATAAATCCAGTATCTATTATTCTGACTAATTTGACAAAAAAAATGTTTGCCCAATCCCAACTAACGTCAGTCAGGTTCTTCATTTCTTCCAGGTCTGATTGGGGAACATATGACCTTAGGATCTCTGAACAGGTGTCTAGCACATAGTAGAAACATAAGAAACCAAAAAAAAAGCAAAAATCAACACACCAGTTCTTTCCTTAATAAGAAACCAGAGGACTACTTACACCAGCCTTTTGTTAGCATTATATATATCTGGAAACAGAAACTGTGATCAATGATCAATGATCAATGATCAAATTGATAAATGACTACCATGACTGATAAGAGAATAATAAACATAAGTGTTTATGATGACCTCTAACTTGCCAATATCTGTTATTTTTCACAACACTCAATATTTAATGTTTCAAACTCCTAACTTTGAAGATAAGAAATGAAGAAACATTCTCATGGTTCCTAATATCTTTTATTTAAATATATGTGTATATATTGTATAAAATAGTCCATATATTTCATCCATCCGTAATTGTGTGTGAACGTGAACATAATATCTTTTATAATCTGATCTTTAATGTTTAGGATAACGTTTACAAACCATTTCAGACTAAAATGTCAAAACTAAAGGAAAATATAACAAAAATGTTTTGTTCTTTCTTCTCATTTCCTTAAAGCTTCAGGACTAGAGATTATTGAACATTTGGTCTTGACAGCTCTTGTAATCCATGGATTTATATTTACTCTTACGAAGAGTTCAAGCAATTGTGAACAGGGAAAAAATGATCAAAACAATATATACTCTTTCCATGAACGATTTAAAAGAGATACACTTGTCAGAGAAACTGTTCCTAAAAATATTTGTCTTGGACCTAAACAAATAGACATGATGAAAAGTAGATTGTAATTTTACTTTTGCTTGGATTTCCTGAGATATTATTAGAAATGCAATTAGAATTTTAGGTCCTTTTGGAAAGTTTCTCTTGACATTTTGAGGATTTCATTTATCCTCTGGGGTGCTAGTAGGTTGGAAAGGAGAAATATTTAGATGTAATCAGACCAAGAAACCTTAAAGTGTGGTTTTGCCCTGTTAATTGACTGCATTAAACTAGAAAAAGAAAAGCTTTGTGGATTTGATGTTTATTGTCTCTCAATGATTTCCATATTACATCTGCTCAGTTTAAGTGTAAAAATATGTGGTATTTTCCTCTGACTGTTCCTTTCTTAAACTCATCCTAGAATTTGAAAGCAAAGCTGGGTTTGCTCTGGCTCACATGCCTCCTAAAAAGACACTGCAATCTGACTGTTTTTAGGAATTCAGTTGATGATGCGCCAGCTGGAACCTAGTCCACTTCATTCCCTGAGAGCTGCCTTGGTTCTGCACTGCAACAAAAGTCACAAGTAATAGCAGTTTGCTTTAGTGAAGAGGCCATATGTACCAGTAGATAGAGAAATAGTGTGTGTGTCAGAAGATCTTTTCTGCCCTGCTTCCTCTGCTGTTCTGGTTTGCTTTGGCATCTTGGACAAATCATTCCACCTGCCCTGGTTGGCAGGGCATAAAGTTAAATAGTTTGCCAATTAGATAATCTAAAGTAGGACAGAGACTGAATAATGATTTGTTGATACAACAGTAGCTAGAAATGTACTGATTCTATATAGCTCAGTCTTCTTTTAAAATTAAAAAAAAATCCTACAAATATTTGAGGGTAAAATAAAGTTTAATATGTTTGCTTACGAATTATACACCTCTTTTGACCTGGAAGAGAGGAACAAATATTTAATCATCCTGACAAGACGTCAATTATGTGAATGACAAAGTCAAGGGCAGCTAATGCATGAAGGTGTTAACAACTATCTCCATCTTCAAAGGTCCTGATATAGCAGTTACTAGACCACAGTCACTATAGTTTTAAAGCCTGTAGAAAGCTATTTGATTATATCATAAAGGATTATAAAATTTCCAAATTAGAAATAATTTTAAATGAGACATAATATTTAAATGAGGAGAAAATAAAAGGGAAGATGGAGTTGAAAACAGAGGAACAAAGACAAATGTCAGTGGATATACTATTCATTCTTGGGACAGCAAGACTCATGTACCTATTGCATGGACTAGGCTAATAACAGACATATATTTTTCTTCCTCCTCAACAAGTAAATCCAGACAAGATATTTCGCAGTTTTTGTCTATTGAGATGTCTTACACATTGTTTATCATGTGACTAAAAGACAATCTCTTTTTTTCTAATTCCACTCATTATTTGAATTTTTTTGTTGAGGTCCACTGTGGTTCCTGATAAGACTTGAGAGGTATACACGATGATAGGACTTGGTAAATAGATGTAGTGTTTGATTCCCTTGAAATTGTTGGTATTCTTGCCAAAAAAAGCTGTATCAGCACATGACATAAACTTGTCGGAGGATAGAAGTCAGGATGAGTCATGTGATCAAAAGCTATCAGCACCAGCTGGCTATTTACTAATGTTAGATTTTGTTATAGAAAGAAAGTTAATGATTACAATGGATATTTTACCAGGTTTCTAGATGCAAGTAATGTAAAACTCCAATTATTCATGAATCTCCATCTATTCATGAATGTCCCTTGAAGGACAGAGAACAAATTTCAGGACTAAACTTCTAAAGGAATGATATAGGGTAGTATCTCTTCTGAGACACTGCTTAAAATACGTGGGAAAGAAGTTTATGGAGATGGTCCTTTGTTAGAATCTGTTTCTAGAGCATGGGGAAGGAGCAGTCCTTTCACTTCCATTAGAGAAAGGATAAGAATTGAGGCAAGCTTTCAAGTAAGCTGAGGAGGAGGAAGTCACTCTTTGAAAG